CCGGTCGTGGGGCTTGAACTCTGGGCCTGGGCGCTGTCCCTCAGCTCTTCAGCTCAAGGCTAGCACTCTACCACTTGAGCCACAGTACCACTTCTGGCATTTTTCTTTTTGCTTATGTGGTGCTGAGGAATCGAACCCAGGGCCTCATGCATGTAAGGCAAGCGCTCTACCACTGAGCCACTTTCCCAGCCCCCCCCCCCCTTTATGATTCTTAAACCCCAAACACTCCCTCTGGTGTTTTGCTTAGGTCATCCAAAGCGATTTGATTTTTTTCCCCTTGATTTTCGACATTTATCCAGTCAGTGCAGGTTTCTGAGGTGTGTGCTACTTGCTAGGTTCTGTGCATGCTGCATTCTGAAGATCGCGGTTCAAAGCCAGCCGGAGGAAGAAGTCGGTGAGGCTCTTTATCCCCCATTAATCACAGAAAAAGCTGGAAGTAGAGCTGTGGCTCCGGTGGTAAGAGTGCTAGTTTGAGCTACAGGAGTTAGTTCAGGGACATCAATCAGGCCCCGAGTTCAAGCCCCAGGACTGGCACATACAAAAAGCCTGCTGTCTTAATGTTTTCTTTTGCAAAGCTTACTTCATGTAACACAAATATTAGAATTAAAGTCCACTTTACAGAGGAGGAAATTCAGGCACCCAGCATCTAAGGATCTAACAAGTGACACAGAAACGTTGTCTTTTGGTGATAGTTTGTGCTCCAGGAGCTCTCACGTAAATAAAAGTTACCTTTACTTGATATCTCTCATTATTCTCTCTTGCTTCGTTCACCACCTTTAATCTAACACAACAACCTTCCACAGAAGGATGAATTTAAACTATTCGGCTAGGCCAAGGGAACCAAACTCCTCCCTCCGCCTGCGCCATCTAGCGTGACTTCCGGCCGGCCTCTACCCACGTGATCAAATATCCTTACTGCGCATGTGTACTGGGAAGTCGGGCTATACCACTTTGTCTTACGGAAGGGGTATTTTTCTGCGCTTTTAAGTTTAAAACCGATTTCGGATACTAGGTTCCTATTATCCCAGGTCATTGGGAAGGATATGAGTGTGGGGGTGGTTTCAGAGGATGAAAGTTTCAGAGGGGAATGAGAACACAAATGGGGATGGATTTGGGCTCTCCCCTTCACAGATAATGGGAGAAGCCAATCAGGAGCGAGTTCTTTCCTTTCGCTGCCGCGGCCGCAGCCATGAGGTGAGGGTGCGCGGGGCTCTGTTCTGAATTGACCCGAGACAGAAGGGGTTGGCGGGGCCGAGTATCATGGTCCAGTATAGAGAAGAGGAAATGCGGGCAAGTCCGAACCGGCGGGTCCGAGAACTTGGGGTAGAAGAGCGCACTAGGCCCGGGCCTGTAGGAGCCGGGGGTGGGCAGAGTCGCGGGAACCGGAGACCCGGAAAGGCCTGCCCCGGCGGCCGCTGCGTCCCGCTCGTGGCAGCGCCGCGTCGGCGACTCCCGGGTAGACCAGAGCCGGCGATGGGGATTAGGCAGTCGGCTCCCCCCGCCCCTCATCCCCAGTTCCCTGGGCGCTCCCAGAGCTGAGCAGATTGTCTGCTACCATGTGACGTGGGACCGGCCTCGCGCAGGCCTCAGGCCCGGGGTGAGGCGACGCGTAGCTTCTGAACGCTTTCCACCTCTTAAGGATGATCAGTTGTAGTTTACGACCGTGACAAAACTTAGTTACGAGGCCAGAAAGCAAAGGAATCTGCCTTCCTGAGTCGATCGCACTAAAACTCAGCCGAATACCAGAGAGGGGATAAACACCACCGCTCCCGTATTACTTTTAACAGAGTTAAAGGTTTGAGGTTCAAGGTTTAATTGGATCTTAAAATCTTCCAATGTGGCATGCTAACACCGTCCGGGGCTTTAACGATGATTTCGATTTTTTTTGGAGATTTATTTGCCCTTAGGAGGAAGTGCATTTAGACTTATGTGTGTGTCTTGATATTTTACTTATTTGTAAACTTTTACCGTATTGAAATACTTGGGAAGGTAAGAGTTCTGTTTGGGAAACCCATTCTTGAGTACCGAGTGACTTCAGGGCTTAATAGGGAACCTTTTGTGTCCCAGTATGCTCAGGCTGCAGAAGAGGCTTGCCTCTAGTGTCCTCCGTTGTGGCAAAAAGAAGGTCTGGTTGGACCCCAATGAGACCAATGAAATCGCCAATGCCAACTCTCGTGAGTATTTTTGTTCTCTGGCTCTTATCCATTTACCTCTTGCCTTGTTAAACATCAAATACATGTACAAACCTCAGCTCATAACCAAAGTGACCTGTCAAAAAATGTTATTCAAAATACAGAACTATCAGAGGTTTCCTGAAGGATAGAGTGGAAGTTAATGCAGTCACTCAATAAACAGGCCTGTTGGCCTATGATTGATTATTCATAGCAGTTAAGCAGATAGCAGTCCTATAAATTGCTCTAAGGCTCCTGCATTGCTTTTACATTATATCAAGGATGATCTTTTAAGTGTACTCGAAAACATTTAAGACATTTATTAAAAGGCAAGGAATCAAGTCGGAGGTTGTGACTCAAGTGGTAGGGGGCCTGTCTACCTCTAACATGGGTCCCTGAGTTCAAACTCTAGTAAAGGTTCCCCCACCCCTTCAGTCCTTGAGTTTTAACTGGGCACTGTCTCTGAACCTTTTTTTTTTTTTTTTCTTCCTCAGGGCTAATGGCCCACCATTTGAGCCACATTTCCACTTCTATCTTGTTCGGAGTAGTTTGTTGGAGATAGTGGAATCGGATAAACATTCCTTGCTTTGAACCATGACCCTCAGAGCTCAGCCTCCTGAGTTGCTAGGATTATAGGAAGCCACCCGTTCCCAATAAAGTTTTAAAAAAGAATAAATTTCAAGATTTTTCAGACTATAGGGTCTCCACTCTGATTGTGTACTGTGCTTTCCCAGGTCAGCAGATCCGGAAGCTGATCAAAGATGGGCTGATCATTCGCAAGCCTGTGACTGTCCACTCCCGGGCTCGATGCCGGAAAAACACCTTGGCTCGCCGAAAGGGTAGACATATGGGTATAGGTAAGCATGATTTTTATTTCTACCTATGACTTAAAGTGTACAAGACGGGGTGGGGGGCATAGCTATGTGCTAGAGTCCTGGGTTTGATCCCCAGCAAAATTAAAACTCAAGTACATTCGGGATCTATTTTGTGTTGTGTTCTTTTCTTATCACTTGGCCATGGTATTTGATTGTGTTCTTTGTATGTATATGAACACATTGGAATTGACAATATTCTTGGTAAAATCCCTGTGTTATGCTGAACTGGGTATTTGAATAATGGTTTTATGAAACTACTTTGTAATGTCAGGATGGTTTCAGAAGAATGAAGATCACTTCCAGCTTATTGTGCTGCCCTGGTGTGGGTCCAGTGTGGTGGTATACAATCTGTAATTGATCTCAGCACTGGGAAGGAGACTTCAGAGAAAGATCTAGTTCTAGGCCAGCCTGAGCTATGTAGTAAGACCCTATCTCTGACATGTTATCTTTATTTTTGGTTCTGGTCCTGGAGCTTGAACTCAGGGCCTGTCCCTGAACTCTTGCCTTATGGCTAACACTTTTTTTGTGTGTGAGTTTTATATGTCTTTATCATGATCTTTTTTTTTTTTAACCTGTGAAAATATGGTACCCAGGGGTTACAATTACATGGGCAAGATAATGAGTACATTTTTTGCAAGGCAAGGGTTCGACCACTGAGCCACCTTCCCAGCCCTGAGTACATTTTTTTATCAAGCATTGTTGCCTCCTTTGTTTCCCCGCTACCTTTCCTATCTCCCACCCACCCACTCCCACCCCAGGCTAGCACACTGTTATTTAAGCCACAGTTCCACTTCGGTTTTTGGTTTAACTGGGAATAAGAGTTTCATAGGCTTTCCTGTCTGGATTGGTTTTGAACTGTAGCTGAGATTATAGGTATGAACCACTGGCCCCCAACTCCAGAAGAAAACTTTTTTAAGTTGCCTTGTGTTTCCTAAAACCCAAGGAAATTAAACTAGAGGGAGTGGTACCACTCAAATGGTAATAAACTCAAGTATTGTCGAAATATTTTTCAGTAAGTGAAAGAAGCTAAATACTTAGAATCAGCATCTGTCAAATGGATGTAATACTGCTTAAATGAGACTACAGGTTCATTGTGGACCCTTCAGGTAGTTTCAGTAACTGAAGCTTCAAGGGGTCTAATTAACATCAGATAATATTCCTGACTCCTTTCCCTACAGGGAAGCGAAAGGGTACAGCCAACGCTCGCATGCCAGAGAAGGTGACCTGGATGAGGAGGATGAGGATTCTGCGAAGGCTGCTGAGGAGATACCGTGAATCTAAGAAGATTGACCGCCACATGTGAGCTTACCCTCCAACTAAGACCCATTCGTTGCCTTAATGGTTCACTTTTTGCACAGAGCTCTGTCTCAGTGGCCTTGGGAATGGGCCTTTCCAAGGTCTGTTTTTCTTTGTCATCCCCACTTTTGTGCATGCCATCAGCTAACCTAAAATTGAATTTATTTGCAAATCAAATTCTGCTTAGGAACTGTACTAAAAGTCTGAGTTTGGTAAATGTGATACAAAATAAACGTTAAAGCTTAGTGGCCTGGGATGGAGAAGTCCACAGAAGCCCACTTCTGATGTCATTGTTGTGCCCTGCAGGTATCACAGCCTGTACCTGAAGGTTAAGGGGAACGTGTTCAAAAACAAGCGCATTCTCATGGAACACATTCACAAGCTGAAGGCAGACAAGGCCCGCAAGAAACTCCTGGCGTAAGTTGAAGTCTAAGGTTATACTTCAGCTTCTCCAACAGGTCTTTCCAAACTAACCATCTTTTTTCTCTCTCAGTGACCAGGCTGAGGCTCGCAGGTCTAAGACCAAGGAAGCCCGCAAGCGTCGGGAGGAGCGTCTTCAGGCCAAGAAGGAAGAGATCATCAAGACTCTATCTAAGGAGGAAGAGACCAAGAAATGAAGCTTCCCTCTCATGTGTGTACATAGTGGCCTCTGATTACACAGATCAGTCGTTGAAATAAAACAAGCCTTTATCTTGTTTCCTCTCTACTGGTTGCAAAATTTCTGGCTTTAATGAGTATTCAGAGCTGATTTCATCTTCAGAGCTAGCCATACCAGGCTTGCGGGGTAGTCTTTTTCCCAATTAGTCCATTTCCTTTTGACTTCAACTTCAAGAGAGATATCTTTGGTCTTGCCTTACTGGGATGCAGGGCCATCTTGGGAGGTAGGCAAAGATTGGCCGTTTAGCCCAATCCTCCAAGATAACAATGCTGGGAATATCCTCTGGCCCATCATAGTTGTATACATCTACAGTCCTAGCACTAGGGGAGCTGGGACAGGAGGATGAATACAACACTGTCTAAATGGTGCCTAGAAAAAGTGTGCTTCTTAACTGCACTCTAAGGCCTACACTTGAAATCTACTGTTCTAGGATTCTCCTAGACAGTAGGGGATTATTACTGTACTCATCCAGAAATGGACTACTTAAGATGTCTAAACAGGTATAATTTATTAAGGTGTTCTTACTTAAGCAACCCATCTTACAAACTTGCTTCTTACTAAAAGGTTTTTTCCCCCCACCTTGTTTTGTTTTTGGTCATGCTGGGGTTTGAGTTACTATCCAGGTGCTACATATACTACTGATCCCTAATTATTACCTCCAACCCTGATTTTTAAGATGAAGTGATTTTTGGGCTAGATCACAGTTCCCTATTTATGCTTCCTTTGTGTCTGGCATAACATTTGTGTACCACCATTGCCTAGCTTTTTCTGTTGAGATAAATTTTTTTTCAGTCCTGGGCTTGAACTCAGCCTGAGTACTATCCCTTCAAGGCACAGTGTTGAGCCACAGTGTCACTTCTGGTTTTGTGGTAGTTAATTGGAGATAAGAGTCTCACAGACTTTCCTGCCTGGGCTGCTTTGGATTTTTTGTTTGTTTTGTTTTTGAACTCTGGGCCTGGGTGCTGTCCCTGAGTTCTTCAGCTCAAGGTGAGCACTACCATTTGAGCCACAGTGCCACACTTTCAGTTTTCTGAGTGGTTTATTGAAAATGAGTGTCATGACATTTCCTGCCTTGGCTGGCTTTGAACCGAGATCTTCAGATCTCAGCCTCTTGAGTAGCTAGGATTACAGGTGTGAGCCACCAGCGCCTAGTCAAGATGATTCTTAAAACTTGCTCTGGATAGTCTTGGACCACCACCTTCTGTTTCTAGCTCCCAAGTATCTAGGATTACAGACAGGCCACCAGTGTCTGTTGACCTGAGTTCAATCTTTACCCTAGTTTATGACCAACTTGTTGGTCACTAAGACCTCATCCAGCAGGAATTGGAATACAGGCATGTCAGTCTCATTAAAGTTGCTTATGTCTGTTAATGAATTTTTTCTGCTGTTAGCAGGAAGTGGTTTTATTTTCCCCACTTAACTGGTAGTGACAACTCCAATAATTTTTTCAATAAAAATCTGCTTTGTGAGCCAAGTACTTGTAAGTACATTACATCGACTTCCATTGATTCCATACTGAAGTAAGGTCACCATTTCCACTTGTGGATCTATAAGTTTTACAGAGCCTGAACTAAGATAGGAGTGGAGTAGACACTGAAGGTGAAAGCAGTCACAAGCGTAAGCCTCTAAGCCTTGGAAGTATAAGGCACAAACTAATCAGGGTAGGGAGGGGGAGAGGAAGAGTAGCTGAGTGGCAATAAGGGCCATATATCTTGTGGAAGAGGTCTCAGGCAGCTACATGTGAGTGTTATAACTTGGACTGACTTTGGGGAGAAAATTGGGCCAAGGGGCACCTGCTTAGTATAATAAAGCACATCTTGACCATGTGTATGCCCTTCCTGGTTACCTCCCTGCTCCCCATCTTCTGGGAATGCTTAGAATAACCAGCAGCAGTATTCTGACATGTGCAGGGTACATGGAATAGACAGGTCTGAAGTGGCATTGGGACTAGCAGACTCCTCAGCTCCATAATCCCTATCCAGGTGGAGAAGACTGGGAATCCTAGACTTAAAACATCCAAAGGATCCACTCACACTACCACCCATGGGCATCAGGCAAGGAACTCCCTTGTCCACTAGAGCAGCCTGTGTGCTCCCACGCCCCCCCCCCCCCTTCCCAGTCGTGGAGCTTGAACTCTGGGCCTGGATGCTGTCCCTCAGCTCAAGGCGAGCACTCTACCGCTTGAGCCACAGCACCACTTCCAGTTTTCTAGTGGTTAATTGGAGATAAGAGTCTCAGGGACTTTTCTGCCCGGGTTGGCTTTGAACCATGATCCTCAGATCTCAGCCTCAGTAGCTAGTATTACAAGTGTGAGCCACCAGCGCCTGGCCCTGTGTGCTCTTTATCCATGGGCTTCTTGCTCTAAATCTTTGCCTTCCTAAGTGGAAACATTGAGGCCCAGAAGGGGAAAGGCCATAGCCAAATAGCATCTCGATGTGGGGAAATGTCTTTGCCAGGTTTGAATTAGAGAGAAAGGGTGTTGGAGACCAGCCCACCCCATCTTCAGTAGAGAACAAGGTACTCCAAGCACTGGACATTCACAGGCCCTGAGCTTATGGCCAGTTCCACCCTGGGCCAGGAGATGGTGCTGTTCACTCACAGGTCACTATGGGTGTACATAGTCCTCTCTGGGGCTTTTTGTTTGGTTCATTAGCAATTGGGTTTTTTGTTTTTGGAAGGTTTAGGATGGGCTGTGTTGAGAGAGCTGCCTTTCAGAAGCTTTGAGTCACTCTTCTTCTTCCATACATGTCAGAACTCTTGTTCTATCACTGCTACCTACACCCTAGCCCCATGTTACTTTTCTGAACCTTACCTACTACTGGTTGGCTAACACCCTAAGTAAGCCATATGGCCTCCAACCCCTTTCTAGAGCAGTGCTTTGGATGGGAGTGAGGAGTGTTCAAATCCCAGGAGGCCTCAAACAGAAAGAATTATATAGGGGCATCTTGTCTAGAGCTTAGAGCTTCATGAAGATCCAGTTGAAGGATGTACTTGGGGCTAGGGGTACAGCTCAATGGTAGAGTGTGTGCTTAGTACAAACAAGGCTCTGTATTCTATCTCCAGTACACAACTCCCCCCACCCCCCAAAAAGGTGTATCTTTTCAAAAGCCTACAACTGACCTCATAATTCATACTTTTCCAAGGGGTTCACTGTCCACCAAGAGACACTCTGAACAAGCCCAACTTATATCTCAATGAGGAAATGAGGCCCTATGAGCCAATGACTCACCAGAATTTGTGTTGCCTGCCCACTAGTATCACCTGAGTCCAGCTCTGGGTCACCAGCTGTAGGAGGGTGTGACTCAGAGCGGACACTGTGAAGGCATGCAGTTGGGCTGGGAGCTAAGAAAGGGCTATGAGGAATTTGGCCTCCTTTCTATAGCTGAGACAGGGACTAGAGACAGGCTAGACATCCCCAGAGGCATTCCTTCAGCAGGTCCTGTAGCTGATTCAAGCCCTGGGTGGCAATGGGATGAAGAAGGCCAAAGGAGTTGAAAGGAGTAGGCTAGGATAGGTGGGAACCGAGCGCTGGTGGCTCACGCCTGTTATACTAGCTACTCAGGATACTGAGATCTGAGGATTCCTTGAAGAAAAAAGCCAAGTGAGAGTTTAGCTGAGTTCAAGCCCTAGTATTGGCACACATACAAAAGATGGGTGGGGTTGCATGGAGGGGCTTCCTATGCCTTGCTCTACCTCACTATCTATAGTCTCTGTCCCTTGTCTGGCTCCCAGACTCTCTTTTTTGCACCTCTACCTGAGTCAGAGTATCATTTACCCAGCATATTGCAAGCAAATGAGGTGAAAATCAGGCTGGGGTGGGGGTGAAGGGCAAGTGTAGGTCAGAGAGCAGAGACAAATGGTAGATGTCCTACCAGAGGGTTCCTGGACATTCTCTGCTTTAGGCCAATGCTGTTGTGGGTCCAAATCCCTAAGAGTAGGCACAGAGGCAGGCAGCAGGGGCTACTCTGGGGATACCAGCTGTTCCCAGCCCTTAGGCTAGGAACATGCTGTCAGCCACCAGAAAAAGCTGCTGTGCTCAGCAGTGCAGCAAACAGGCTGGGGAGGAGGAGGGTCCAGACCAGCTGCTGGCTAGTGGCAGACTCTGGGCGAGCAGAGGCGTGGCTACAAGAGTTTTGCTGTTTCCAGTGAGGTGGGAGATCCATCCCTGGAGCCCTGTCTCTAGCTCCATCTTGGTGATTTAAGGCATTGAAGGACTCAGGTCAGGACAACAGCTGAACTGAAGGGAAAAAGTGGTTTCTATTGACAGTCATTGCCAGGCACCTGTGCCTCGGGCCTGTAATCCTAACTACTTAGGAGGCTGAGATCTGAGAATTATGATTCCAAGCCAGCCTGGGCAGGAACAAAGTCTGTGAGATTCTTAATCTCCAATTAACTAGTAAAAAAAAAAAAGGTAGCATGCCAATCATAAACAGAAAAGCTGAGCAATAAAGTGAAGCCCTCAGTTCAAGTCCCAGGACTAGCACCAAAAAACAAAAACAGTGACCATTGATTTACTCTGTGATAAGTCATTACTGGCTCTGGGCCTCAACGTCCTTGTGTTTGAAAAGGGCAGATTGGTCTTAGCCTTGGATGAACAAACCACTTACCATTTTTATGCCTCAGTATTTTCATCTGTGGAGGGGGTTCAGCAAGGCTTTCTCTATGGAATCATGGAGAGAAATAAAACACAGGAAGTTTGAGGCATGCTTTTTTTTGGGGGGGGTCCGGATGTGGGGCCTGAACTCTGGGCCTGGGTGCTGTCCCTCAGCTCTTCAGCTCAAGGCTAGCGCTCTACCACTTGAGCCACAGCACCACTTTTGGCTTTTTTCTCTTTGCTTATGTGGTGCTGAGGAATCGAACCCAGGGCCTCAGGCATGCAAGGCAAGCGCTCTACCACGGAGCCACCTTCCCAGCCTGTGGCATGCTCCTTTTGGTACAGCAGATGTCTTTATCTGAGTTCCCCTCTCTATGAGAGTCTCCTTTTTTTTTCCTGCCCCAGGACTGAGGCTTGAACTCACAGCTTAGGTGTGATCCTTTAGCTGTTTCTGCTCAAGGCTGGTGCTGTGCCTCTCGACCCACCACAGCTCTACATCCAGTTTTGATGACTAATTGGAGATACAAGTCTCCTGGAATTTCTTGCCGTGGCTGGCTTTGCACTACAATCCTCAGATCTCGCCCTCCAGAGTAACTAGGATTGTAGGCATGAGCCACCAGTGTCCAGCTCTGAGCCTTCAATCTAGGTGAGTGACCCCCCTCCTTTTTTTATTTCCTTCTTCTACTCCCACAGACAGGGATCATAGAAAGGGAGAGGGCTGCCCTCCTCTTCCGACACACACACACACACACACACACACACACACACATCCAATTTTTAGGTCCTTCTCTGGGTGAAGAGCCCCAAAGAAAGCTCAAGGACAGGGACTCAAAGTCTGGCCCCTCCTGCCCTTCCTAACGCAGAGGGTGGGTTCTGGGACCCAGGAAGGGGAGGGGGACACTTGTCAGGAGAGAAAGCCCCTCCCCCTCTGCAGCCTGGCAGCGCCACGGTGCCCTGGCACCCCCACGCAGTCCGCCTCGTGCTCCACCGCTCTCCCCTCCGCCTATAAATAGCCCAGGACGTGCTCGCTGCGTTGGTGACGCGGCTGCCCGAGAGGCGCAGAAGGAGGCCGCTGTGCCGGAGCAGGTGGGCGTCGGGCCGGCTGCGCCAGGCGGGCACGCTCGGCCTCTCACGCCAGGCTCCCGATGACGGGCACGGCTGAGTCACCTCAGGGTCCCAATATCCGCAACTGTCCCCTCTGCCAGCGTTTCTGTCTTGGGGGACCGCGGGGTGAGGCTGATCTTGGGCGGGTACTGCACCCTTCTCTGGCCAGGGCAGGAGGGCCTAGGGTGGGAGGGGCACCCCCTGATGGGCAGGCCGTGACCCAGACACCCCCCCCCCCGTAGAGGCCGGCCCCCTGCTCGACTCAAGTGCACAGCATATGGGGAAAGTGACCGGGGGGGGGGGGGGGGGGGGGGGGGGGGAAAGGGGAGGGGGGCCCATCCCCTCCCCCCAGCCTCCCAAATCACCGCTTCCCCGCCCCCCTTTCTTCAGGTTCCAGAGATCTCCACACCTCCCAGGTCCCACCCTCCATCAGCGGCCCCTGTGGAAGCACCCCCCACCCTTTGCTCCCTACCCCTCCTCCATCTCAGTCAGATGCAGCAAATAGTCAGGCTGGGACAAGAAACATTTAATTAGGAGTCTGGGGGTTTGGCAGTACCCCAGTAGACTCATCATGCAGCCTCATGTACAGTGGGCATTGGGCCCACCCCGGGAGGGTGGCGGGGGGAGGCCTCATGGCAGCAAACAGGGCAGTGTGGCTTGAGCCCCCCTCTGCTGGGGAGAAGTGGGGCAAGGTCTGTGGGATAGAAGAATCTGTGTCACTCTCGCTGTATGGAGGGTGTGACTGAGCCCAGGATGAGTGGCGCTGGGCTGACACAACCGAGGGCACAAGAGGAGGCTCTGAGCTTGGGGGTAAGGGGACTGGCACCAGACAAAAGCAGCCTGCAAGGGAGAGGTCCTTTTCACACTTCCCACTCCATAATAAGGCCTCCTTGCTGCTTCACATCCCAGCCCAGACATCAGTCTGAGCTCTCCACCTTCCCTGTCTACCCCAGGATGTCTTCTCCCAGAGCATTTTGTCCTGGACAAAGAAGACCCAACAAGAGGGGCCCCCCAAAACATCAGTTCTGTGCACTGCAGATTCCAGCAAGAAGGGGTAAGGAAAGTCAGTCCTTTGGGTGGGGCTCCTGGGGGAACTAGAACTGACAATCCCTTGGCTGGCTGTTCCTGGTGACGGAGGGAGTGGAGGACCGACAGTGAAATGGGTGTTGTTTTAACCAAGCATAGGCCAGTATCTTGTTCTTCGTTGGATTTCTGTGTCCAGGATGTTCTTGGACACCCTCTTCTGGTAAACGAAGTTTGACGAGGCTGCTCTGTGGTGATGGGCTTCCTTGAAGAGACAGTCTCCTATTTGTCACCCCCTCCCCAGACCTCAGCCCTTCCGGGTTCTGTCTGCCCAGGTTTCAAGTAATGGGAGAGATTCCTGCAGAACTTTCCTGAGAATTGACGGAGTGATAGAGGTGGTGAGACCAAGAGATGGACTCAGGGCTCTCCTATGGCCCTGAGCCAGGGTAGAGAGCTAAGGGACAGGGATAGGCCCCCTCCCAAAGCCCCATTTGCAAAGGGGCAAACACACATAGACCCAAGCAAAGGCTCTGTGGACAGAGAGGGTGGGTCAGGCATGCAAAGGCATGTGGACAGTCTCTGGAAGACACAGCAAGGATCCTCCCCACGGTAGGACTCAGCATTACAAGGGGACTGGGCGTACCTGGGCTCTGGGTGGACCTACCTTATTCCTTCCCACTTTCTCCTCCCTGCTCCCAAGTCCCAGAGGAGTATCAACCCATTCAAGGGCACCCTGCCCAAGAAATAAACCTTCCTCAGTGCAGAAATTTCCTAAGCTGTGATGGGTGGCGCCTAGGAGAGAGGCAGAGGGAGGAAGGGCATGGCCAGGATGCCTGCTCCCTTCCTGGGCCAGAAGCAAGGGCCAGGCATGGGCAGGGGTGGCATCTGGGTTTTCTTGGCTTCCATCAGATCTCGGTCAGGGCGTCGGCTGGCACCAGGCCCCGTTTCTTGCCACTGCTGACGCGGATGAAGCCGTCAGCATCTTTGCTTCTGCCCACGCCCACACAGATCTGGATGGAAGACACACAGCTGAGGCCTGGCATGATCTACAGCCCTGGCCCAAGTGCTGCAGATGCCCCCAGGGGACCCACTCCCGAGGACAACGGGCCCCATGGGAGATGTGGATGGTGTCTTCTGGGCTGATGGGAGCAGATCCCATGAAGGTGCAGAGTTCAGCATCAGGCCCTGGGCTCAGTGGGCACCAGGAAGCACTTCAGGGCTGACTCTGGAGATTAGCTGGTCCAATGTTCTTCTCTATATCCATTTCTCAGAGGAGGTAACAGAGGGAACAGAGCTTATCCACAATGACACAACAGGCCAGAGGCAGAATCAGCATTAAAACCCAAACTTCTGGGCTTTTGTTTTTTTCTTCTGGTGCCAGTATTGGGGCTTAAACTCGGAGCTTTGGCCTCTCATTTAGCTCTACTACTTGAGCCAAACCTCCACTTTTGGGTTTTTGCTGGTTAACTGACAATAAGCATCTCATGGATGTTTCTGCCCTGGCTGGCTTTGAACTTTGACCCTCAGATTTCAGTCTCCTATGTAGCTAGGATTATAGGTGTGAGCCACCAGCACTCAACAAACTTCTGGACTCAACCCAGTGCTCCTGTGATGCCCCAGTGTCATTCAGCTGCCTGCCTCTATCAATCACCAGCCCTAATTTCCCACAGGGGATGATGGGAGGGCCCTGAAGTCTCTTCACTTCTAACCTGCTTTTCCTCCTGTGTCAGGCCACAAAACCTTTCCCAGGGCACTCTTCCCTGTCTCTGCACTTCTTTCCCATACTCTCAGCAGGGCGTAAGCTAGCACCCCAGGTACCTACCTGGTTCTCCTTCAGGCTCATGTAACCCTGTTCCTTGTTCCCGGAGAAGGGCTGGCAGCAGCGCCAAACATTCTCTCCTGGCCTCACCCGCTGTACAAAATTGGCTGGGAAGAAGCCAACCCGGTCGCCGATCTTGCCCTGGGGATGAGTTTGGCATTGAGCCCCAGTGCTACCCCCATGCCTTCTCTAGACCTAGTTCACACTCAGAGCCAATGCCATTATCCTCCAGATTCTGGGTTGTCATAATTCCAACCTTCAGCTGGTGCTTCTGAGATGGGAAGGGCATGAGCTGATCAGTGGACAAAACTGAGGCAAAGAGAGTCAAACTGTCAGCAAGGCCTCAGGGTTGTTCCTAGGCTTGGCCAGGGCCTGTGGTTAGAAGGGAGGTTGGCTGGGCACCCATGGGCTCACTACTGTAAATCTAGCTACTCTGGAAGCTGAGATCCAGAGATTGCAATTCAAAGTCAGCCCTGGCAGGAAAGTCCATGAGGCTCTCATCTCCAGTTAACTAGCAAAAAGCCAGAAGTAGAGCTGTGGCTCAAGTGATAGAGCACCAGCCTTGAGAAAAGTAAGGGACAGCAGCCAGGCCTTAAGTACTGGCAAAGACAGACAGATAGACAGAAACACACACACACACACACACACACACACACACACACACACACACACACGGAGGTCTCTTTGGGACCCTGAGAAAAGCTGGGGGCAGAGCCTGCCAGAGTCCCTCCATGCCCCATTCTGTCAAGTTACCTTCCACCAATCTTCATTAGAGTCATCCACCAGCATAATCCGGTCTCCAGGCCTGGGGAGGACAGAGCTGGGGTAGCATCTGGGCAACTGGGCACTCTGCATGCCCCTCAGCTGGGAGAGGATATTCAATATTCTTCGAGTGCACTGTGACCATAGGTACAGCAGGCGTTTCTCAAGGACAGCCCAGAAAGGGCTGCACCAGTCACTCTTAAACCCAGGGTAAGTTGGGTGCCCGTCTGGGCTCAGCAGCCTCAAGTGTGCAAGGAGAAGATTCAAGAGAGTCCCCTACCCCATTATGTAGCCAGGGTAACAAGGAATGGGAGGCTGGAATCTGGCAGCTGTACCATGGGGCCCAATCACAGAGAGGACTTACTGTAGAGCCAGGTCATTGTTCTCTTGGGGCATGAACTTGTACAGTGCAACGTAGGAGTACATGGGGCCCACATCCTTCCGCAGGGGCGGCCTGGGGAGCTGAAGGAGAAGCTCTGGGTCAACGGTAAACATCACATTGGTTCTTCCCACTGCCCAGGCATTCTGGGCATGCTTTCCCAAGTAGTCATGAGGTAGGACATGATGGGTCCTATATCAGTGATAGAAGTAAGATCTGCTAGCCAGGCTCTGGTGGCTCATGCCTGTAATTTTAGCTACTCAGGAGGCTAAGATTTGAAGATCATGGTTCAGAGTCAGCTTAGGCAGAAAAATCCCTATAAGACTTTTTTTTTTTTTTTTGCCAGTCTTGGGGCTTGAATTCAGGTCCTGGGCTCTGTCCTTGAGTCTCTCTGCACTCAAGAATAGTGCCTCTACCACTTGAGCCAGTGCCACTACTGGCTTTTTCTTCTTTCATTCATTCTTTCTTTCTTTTTGTGAGTCATGGGGCTTGAATTCTGGGCCTGGGCGCTGTCCCTCAGCTCTTCAGCTCAAGGGGAGTGCTTTACCACTTGAGCCACAACACCACTTCCTGTTTTCTGGTGGTTAATTGGAGATAAGAGTCTCACGGACTTTCCTGCCCTGGCTTTGAACTGTTATCCTCAGATCTCAGCCTCCTGAGTAGCTAGGATTACTGGTGTGAGCCACTGGCACCCGGCTTTTCTTTCTTCCTTCCTTTCCTTCCTTCCTTCCTTCCCTCCCTCCCCCCCTCTCTCTTTCTCTCTCTCTCTCTCTCTCTCTTTCTTTCTTTCTTTTTTGGGTCCTGTCGTGGGGCCTGAACTCTGGGCCTGGACGCTGTCCCTCAGCTCTTCAGCTCAAGGCTAGCGCTCTACCACTTGAGCTACAGTGCCACTTCCGTTGTTTTTATTTTCTTTTTTGCTTATGTGGTGCTGAGGAATTGAACCCAGGGCCTCATGCATGCAAGGCAAGCGCTGTACCACTGAGCCACCTTCCCAGCCCTCTTTCTTTCTTTCTTTCTTTCCTTCCTTCCCTCCCTCCCTCTTTCTTTCTCTCTCTCACTTTCTCTCTCTCTTCTTTTTTTCTTCCAGTCCTGGGGCTTGAGCTCTGGGCCTGGGCACTGTCCCTAAGCTTCTTTTGCTCAAAGTTTGCACTCTACCACTTGAGCCACAGCACCACTTCGGGCTTTTTCTATGTACGTGGTACTGAGGAATTGAATGCAGGGTTTCATGCATGCTAGGCAAGCACTTTACCACTCTACCCTAAGCCACGTTCCTAGCCCCTAGCTTTTTTTGAGTAGTTTACTAGAGATCAGAGTCTCCTGGACTTTCCTACCTGGGCTGGCTTTGAACCTCAGATCTCAGCTGCCTAATTACAGGTGTGCACCTGTAATCTTATCTCCAGTTAACCACAAAAACAAAAAGCAAACCAACCTAAGAAACGGGTAGATTTGTGGCTCAAAATGGTAGAGTGCTAGCCTTGAGTTCAAGCCCCAAGACTGACAAAAAAAAAAAAAAAGACACTCTAGCAAGGTGGTGCACACCTGTAATCCCAGCCCTCAGTAAACTGCAGCTAGCCTGTGCTACATCTCCAGGGCCCTGGTTCAATCCCCAATACTAAACAAACAACAACAAAACCCCTTCTGCCTGCTGTGCTTGTTCACTTTGGAAAGGATGGACTGGGCCTGGGAAGAAAAGACACCTTCTGCCTGCTGCACCCTGAAATTGCCTGCCCTTGTAGGAAGCAGGCAGGGTCAGTGGTGAGAGGGATCTCCTCCACCCCCTGTGCCTCTAACTTTGACATTGCCTGTCCCTGAAGGCTTCAGGTAAGTGAGGGAGCAGTGAATGTTCTTCCCATCTATGGACCAATGACAAGAACAACATGGACAGTGACAACAATGACACCCCTTTCCACTCCCCACTGATGAGGCTCTGGGCCAGCCTGGGCTCACCTGCTGTCCAGGGCTCTTCTCCTCTGGTCCTGAGCCTTCACTCTCAGCTGGAGCTGTAAATACTAGACACACCAGGGTGGGGCCAAGGTATAAAATGGAGGGGAGGAGAGCAGAGCACCCTCCACCATGCCCCTCTGTCCTTCCCACCACAGCTCACCGCTGTCCCCAGGTCCCTCCTCCGAGCTGCGGATGCTGCCTTCCCCATCCTCAGTCAGCTCATCCCGCTCACTCTGGGAAGAGAGAGGAGAGAAGGCTCCGTCGTGGGGTCTACTATCATGTTCAGACATTCCCTCCTCCTGGACTCCCCTTCTGTGCCTACCGTACCAGGCTCCGAGTGGGGGACTCAGATGTGCTGCTGAAGCTGGAGCGGTTCATCAGTGCCAGGGAGGTGCCATAGCGCAGGGTCTCGTAGACTGGGTCCACTTTTCCACTGGTTCCTGTGGAGCATGCACTTTCAAAGGCCTGGCATCAGCTTCCAGTCTGGCTCCTCCCTGAAGGAGCCATTTCTAGTCCTGGTTGCCTGGTCAGGTCCTCTAGCTTAGCACGTTCCAGGCAGAGTCTCCATCTTATGCTTTACCCACCCCTCTAGGACCTCTTCATCCAGTGGTATCCTATGTCCTCCCACAGTGCCCATGCAGAGATCTGGAGCCTTCTTTACTCCTTGTTGCCCTTAGGAACCACAGCTATTTCAGCCCCTAATCCAATATCCTTAGACTCTGCCCACTTCTCTTCATCACCACTGCCTCTAGCCCAATTAAGCTTATCCGACTCTCCTGACAACTGCCATGGCTTCCAACCCAACTCTCTGCCTCTACTCCATCCCCTCCCATCTACACAGCAGCCAGAGGATCACCTAAATCGACCACAAGGCCTGGCATCCTCAGTTCTTCTTTCATTACCTCCCTGCCTCTCGCTGTCTGTCTCAGGCCTCCCTCTGCTCACATGTCTTCCTTGGATCCTTTCATGTTTCCAGGCAGTCTTCCCTGACTGCAGATGGGCACAGAATGCATCTGATTCTCTTTATTCCCTAGTCTCATTTTGAGGCACTCATTGGGTGGTGAGCAATAGAGGATTGGTAGGGTTGTCTACTTCATGTCTAGTTCCTTTGTAGTTCATAAATGCCACCTTCTTCAGAGCTGTGTCCCAGTGTCTAGCATGGTGGCATTCAGCACAAGGGCATCCACAGAAGGGACATGGTAAGAATGCCAAGTAGACAGTGGCCAGTGGGACTCTGGCACTCATCTGAGGAATATATAGACTTCTCATCACACCACTTCTAGCATGGGCCCCAGGGGGACACTTACCAGTGGGTGGGGATTCTCTGCTCATGGCACAGGCTGGTGGTGGCTCGTGCACCAGGAGGGGAGAGCTGAAGTTACGGCGGAAGGAGGTGGACTGTGGCAAGAAGAGGCAGAGGAAGTCATGGCTTATGGAGAGCTTGGCCCTTCCCACAGCTAGGGAAAGCCTCACAGGAAGAACCAGCTTTGAGGGGTTCATTCACTCCTATCTCCATCTGATGCTCCCCCTGCCCCAGCTTACCGTCTTGCCTGGGCATTGCTGGTGAGAGATCTCCTCAGAGCACCAGAGATGGACACTGACTTTACACGTCTTACATCGTAAGCCTTGCTTGGAGTTTCCTGGGAAGAATTTGAGTTCAGTGAGAAGGGCTGGGCAAGGAGCAAAGACGGCCAGTGAGGGCATGAGGAGAGAGCAGAGGTTGGGCATGTCATGCCAGTCTTGGAACTTGGCACCTCTGCCTCATACAGTAACACTTAAAGCCAAGGTGTCTATGAACATAGAGCCACACTGGGCACATGGTCACCTCTCAGGACAATGCATTGATTTATCTTGTGCCACCGGGGATAGAACCCAAAGCCTTATACATATTATGCACCAAGCTACCCTCCAGCCCTTCATGATGCACATTTGTCTATAGAGAGAAACAGAGAGAGGGAGAGGTGTGCGGGGGAGCAAGCACAGTCAACACAATTAGTGCTGGGGGGTCTGTGTAGCAAGACTCCAATATCAGGCTGTTCTACTCTCCACGGCCCACTGGATCCCTTCCCTTTGCCCACCACAGGGCCCAGGTACCTACCTACAATGAGCTGATGGCATAGCTCGCAAGGACTGGCTCTCTTGAAGACATGTTCCTGGAAGCTGTGCAGCCTTACCGGTTTGAGTGGTGCCAGGGGGCGGGGGACAGGGCACGGGGACGGTGCTGGAGTGGGCAGACCTCTGTCTGTGGATGCAGGTGGTGGAGAAGGAGGGGGCAGTGGGGTTGGGGGTGTCAGCAGCACCTCGGTCGGGCACTTGAGTTCAGAGCCCGAGCGAAGGAAGAAGTTCTCCACACTCTTACTGCGGAGGATGGTCTTGAGAGAGAGGGAGCGCTTGAATCGCTGGAGCTGGGAGAAGAAGAAGAAGAGCTGTGAGTGGGAAGCAGTTGGGGGCTGCCCATGGCAGGATTCCTGCAGGGTGTTGCTTGTAGCAGCCAGCCGTGCAGAGGCCTAGAGCCAAGAGGAAGCACTAAGTGAGCCTCCTGTGTTCCAGCTTGCAGGAGCTAGGCAGGTAACCTTCAAGATCTTTAAGGGAGTTCTGTCCAGATGGGTACACAAGGAAGAGTGGTGTAGACTGTGGCAAACCTATAGCTAGGGAATAGTGCCTGGTGTCCTCCAGCCAGTTGAGGCTGGCTGTAAGGCTAGCCAGGTTTACCCACAACCCCCACCTTTCCAAAAGAAATAATTTAGACTTTGTCGAGTGTAGTGATACATGCCTATCATCACAGTACTCAGAAGGCTGATAGGATATATACAAGACCCTGTCTCAAAAGCAAAACAAGCCCGGTGCCGGTGGCTCATGCTTGTAATCCTAGCTACTCAGGAGGCTGAGATCTGAGTATTGAGGTTCAAAGCCAGCTCGGGGAAGGAAAGCCCGTGAGACTCTTATCTCCAATAAACCACTAGAAAACTGGAAGTGGCACTGTGACTAAAGCGGTAGAGCATTCGCCTTGAGCTGAAGAGCGCAGGGACAGAGCCCAAGCCTGAGTTCAAGCCCCATGACCGACCAAAAAAAAAAAAAAAAGCCAGGCGCTGGTGGCTCATGCCTGTAACACTAGCTACGCAGAGGCTGAGATCTGAGGATCACAGTTCAAAGCCAGCCCAGGCAGGGAAATCCGTGAGACTCTTATCTCCAATAAACCACAAGAAAACTGGAAGTGGGCTGGGAAGGTGGCTCAGTGGTAGAGCTCTTGCCTTGCATGCATGAGGCCCTGGGTTCGATTCCTCAGCACCACATAAGCAAAAAGAAAAAAGCCAGAAGTGGCGTGGCTCAAGTGGTAGAGTGCTTGCTAGCCTTGAGCTGAAGAGCTGAGGGACAGCGACCAGGCCCAGAGTTCAAGCCCCACGACCGGACCCAAAACAAAAAACACAAGCCGGGCGCTGGTGGCTCACGCCTGTAATCCTAGCTACTCAGGAGGCTGAGATCTGAGGATCGCGGTTCAAAGCCAGCCCAGGCAGGAGAGACTGTGAGACTCTATCTCCAATAAACCACCAGAAAACCGGAAGTGGCGCTGTAGCTCAAGTGGTAGAGTGCTCGCCTTGAGCTGAAGAGCTGAGGGACAGCGCCCAGGCCCAGAGTTCAAGCCCCACGACCGACCAAAAAAAAAAAACACACACACACAAAAAAAAACTGGAAGTGGCACTGTGGCTCAAGTGGTAGATGGCTAGCCTTGAGCTGAAGAGCTGAGGGACAGTGCCCAGGCCCAGAGTTCAAGCCCCGTGTCCAACAAAAAACCAAAACCAAAACCAAGAAACTATTATTGAAATAGGATAGAAACAACTGAAAAGATTTTCTTTGCTCTTAGCAGAAAATAAAAAAAAAAACTTTCTCTTTTACTTTGCTTTCTTCACTTAATTTTATTTTGGAAATGCATAAGGAGTTTCATCATTCTTTTTTTTTTTTTTTGTCAGTCATGGGGCTTGAACTCTGGGCTTGGGTTTTGTCCCTGAGCTCTTGAGCTCAAGGCAAGCACTCAACCACTTGAGCCATAGCACCACTTCTGGTTTTCTGGTGGTTAACTGGAGATAAGAATCTCACAGGGACTTTCCCGCCCAGGCTGGCTTTGAACTACTATCCTCAGATCTCAGCCCCCTGAGACATGAGCGCCCGGGGCATCATTCTTTTTTTTTTTTTATGGTCACATATCATTTAATTGCCTGAATGAACTATTAGTCAAGTTAAAACAAAACATAGGGACTCCATAGCTTCTACCTGTAATCCTACTCAGAGAGCTGAGATCTGGGGATCAAGTCTAATGACCATTCTCTTTACCTACTCAATACCTTCCCTCTCTGGCCAAGCCAGCTTTTCTGTAGGAAGTCCATGAATAGAACCACTTCCGCCTCCTGTGACCACTGCACCTACTCCAGGACCAATCTGCATTATAGCTCCAATCAGGTTGCACCTGTCATCTACTTTTTTTTTTTTTGGTTGGTCATAAGGCTTGAACTCTGGGCTTGGGCTCTATCCCCGCGCTCTTCAGTTCGAGGCCAGCGCTCTACCACTTGAGCCACAGTGTCACTTCCGGCTTTCTAGTGGTTTATTGGAGATAAGAGTCTCATGGACTTTCCTGCCCTGGCTGGCTTTGAACCTCGATCCTCAGATCTCAGCCTCCTGAATAGCTAGGATTACAGGCATGAGCCTCCCATGCTTAGCTTGTCATCTACTTTTTGTTCCCTCTGGAGACTGTGAGTTCCTCAAGGGCAGGCACTGCCACCTCAAATCCCTATAGAGGGCCTCAATATACAGTAAGGGCTCAGTGTGCCTCTCTTGGATACCTGATGAGCAAGTGGCTGTTTGCCACTTTGTGGGGGGTGGGGAAGTGGGTACGTGCACATGTGTGTGTACGTGCCAGTACTAGGGCTTGAACTCAGGGCCTTAGTTTTTTGTTTTTTTGCTCAAGGCTGGTGCAATACCACTTGAACCACATCTCCACTTCTAGCATTTTGCTAATGATTAATTGGAGATAAGAGTCTCACAGACTTTCCTACCCAGGCTGGCTTTGAACTGTGATCTTCAGATCTCAGCCTTGTGTGTAGCTAGGAGTACAGGAACTAGCATCGGACTCAAGTGGCTTCCATCTTACATGGAGCTCATGTGACCAGAGTTCTGGGTCAATTCGACAGTAAACCTAGCATTCTTTCCACTGCTTACCCACACATAACCTTACTGAGTCTTCCCAGAACAAGATATGGAGGCCTTCCTTCCCAAAGCCTCACCCCTCTTTCCTCCTGTTGGAAGCTGTTTTACCCCCTGCCCACTAGGGATAGAAAAGCAGAGGGGCAGAGGGTGGGGGACAACACAGGTTTGGCTGCAGACAAGGGAGTCTTGGCTAGGGTTTCCAATTGGCATGCCAGGCAGCCTGTGTGTTATGGCTGCCTGCCTGGCACCTGTGCCAAAAAGATGGAAGTAGTGGCCCCTCCAGTGTCTAGGAGGCAGTAGGCAGCAAGATGGAGGGGAAGCAGAGGGGATGTTTGGACATAAGGCAGGCACTAGTGTGCCAGCTGGGAGGCCAGGGCCCTGGGGTGTCTGGCACACTAAATTGCTCAGCTCCTTCCAAGTCCAGCTTCCTGGACAGCACTGTGGGCTTCTTTGTGCATCTGTGAGAATCAGGGCCCTGGGCCCCAGATGCCTGGACACAGGAGTAGAGATAAGGTGCCAGGAAGACAATTAAAGAGAAAACAAATGCCAGGTTAGGTGGTGGCCATTTACGACCAAATATGACTCTACGGGTTTTGATGAGCCCTGAGAGACCAGTAAATCTCCCATTGTTCTGCCCAGGGGTCTCAGACATATAGCACATGGGAGGTTAGACTAGGGAGACATGCTCAGGCAATGATGAGGAAATCAATCTGTTTCCTGAACATAAATCATTCTACTTCCTTTCTATGAATCTCAGTTTCCCCACATCTAAGATAGAAGAGGCAGGATGAGATACTCTCTGGGCAATACAAAACTCTGAGTTCAAATAAACCCAGAGAATGTACATGAGAAGCTGTCTTTGTCAGATCACTAGAATTGAACTAGAACTTTCTATACAGCATCCCGTTAATTTTTTTTTTTTTTTGGTTGGTCGTGGGGCTTGAACTCTGGGCCTGGGAGCTATCCTTGAGCTGAAGAGCTCTACCACTTGAGCCACAGCGCCACTTCCCAACCCATTAATCTCTTTGTGTGTATGTGTGTGTGTGGGGGGGGGAAATCTGAGGCTTGAATTCAGGGCCTGGCTGCCATCCCTTAGTTTTTTGTTTTGTTTTGTTTGCTCAAGTCTAGCATTCTGCCACTTGAGCCTCATCTCCACATCTGGCTTTTAGATGGTTAACGAGATAAGAGGAGTCTCAAGAATTTTTATGCCCGGGCTGGTTTCAAACAGTGATGCTCTGAGCTCAACCCCTTGGGTAGCTAGAATTACAGGCATGAGCCACCAATGCCTGGCTGATGCTCTCCTCTGAGGTTATGACCATTATTGTCCCACTTTTCATATGAGCAACGGAGGCTCAGAGGGCTTAAATCACTTTTGCATGACTAGTCTGGTAACCACTAAGAGTCAGAACTGGAATTTTCACATGGCCCTGGCTGCTGGACCCAAATGACCAAGAGCATCTGTCTGCTCTGGGAGCCACCTGCCATCCTTGCCCTCAGCTGTGCTATAGGCTTGCCCACCAGGTCTGTGAAGGCATTTAGGGCTAGAAGGGGCTTGTGGGCTTGTCCCCCACCTCACCATGTTGCAATGCTCTCCTTTGGATGGCTGTTGGTGACCTCTTGCACACCCTCTCGGGATGGCCATTCTATCTTTGGGCAGCTACAATGTCTTGAAAGCATAGGGCTGAAACCAGCCCCCTTGTGACTTTGGACAAACAACTCCTCTCTTGGCTCCAACAATGATCACTCCCTCTTAGACACATCAGCCCTTCTGATACAGTGATTGTTGTGGAATGAGACTGTAAGCCTCCCCACTCTCCAGCCTGTGCTCTTTCCTGGTATACCCCTCCCTGGATCTCGGTGCCAACAGCCACCTCTGCAGGGTACCAGAGGCCTCTAGAACAGAATGTTCCCCAGCACTAGAGCAGTCTCAACTCTGCCTGCCCACTTCCTGGCTCAGCTGTGGGCCTTACATCCCAGGAGGGCAGAGAAGTAAAAAAAAATGACATGCCACCTGGGGTGGCTGGCAATTGTCTAGGGCTGTGGCCCAGAGGCAAAACAGGGACACCTGTGCCAAGTGGTTTGATGCCTGCCCACTTTAGTGGTATCTGGCTTGGCAACTCCGCTAAATGAGGTATTTCTTGTTCCTGGGTCTCTTAGTCCTGAAGAGGATCTTTCCCCATCTTACCTCTCTCTCTCTCTCTCTCTCTCTCTCTCTATGTTAGTACTGGAGCTTGAACTCGGGGCCTTGCATTCTCACTTAACTCTTTCACCCAAGTCTGGTGCCTTACCATTTGATCCACAGCTCTAGTTCTGGCATTTTTCTGGTTAATGGAAGATAAGCTTCAACAGCAATCCTCAGATCTCAGTCACATGAGTAGCTAGGATTTCAGGTAGGAGGCACCAGTGCCTGGCTTAGCTATTTTTTCGGTATCTCCACTGCCCTGGGACCCATTCCTTGGCATGTACTCTGGCAACTTGGCCTGCACAGACCCTATTCCTTCATATTGTACTTACAGTCTGTCTGACTTGGAGCCTAGGCTACCAGGTCTGTTCTTCGGAACCTGCTCCAGAGCCAGGGGCTGACCTCATCTTCCCCTACCTCGTCACTCCCTGAAGGCCCCTTCTTTCCTCAATTTCCCACAGCCTCTCCTGAAAGGACACTAGGCAGCTGGCAGTGGGTGGAGGCGGATGTGGCGCAAGCTGACTCAGATGACAGAGCTGGCATGGCAGGGTCCTCCCAGGGATGGCATCCAAAAGGGTGATGAGCAGGCCCAGTATAGTAAGATGGCTGGAGACCCAAACTGGAGGAAGATCCACTAAGATCACTGAATTGGTAGGTTACAGGGCTGCAACCCAGACTTAAGAGTCAGGCAGAGGTTGGGCTCAGTCTGGCAAGAAATGCCAGGTGGCACCAAACTAATAAATAAGCCTGGAACGTTAGCTTCATTGCCTCATGGCGTCAGTTCTCTTGTACCCACTTCACACTGAGCTGGAGGGGCAGTAACCATCCCCTTTCTCTTCCATCTCCCTCCCCCTAGAGTACGGGGCCACAAAGCCCTTTGGGTCTGACTGAGCAAGGACCTTGATTTCTCTCCCTGTCCACCTCTGCCTTGCTGAATAGCTTCCCCTGATGTTCCCACAGCCCAGGGTAGTGTGTGTGTGTGTGTGCATGCATGTGTGCGTGCGTACGTGCATGTGTGCACACCAGTGAACTTAGGACCTAGGCACTGTTCTTAAGTCCCCCTGTCCCCCCAGCTCCACTTCTGGCTTTTTGGTGCTTAGTTGGAGATAAGAGTCTCATGGAGGGGGCTGGGAAGGTGGCTCAGTGATAGAGCGCTTGCCTTGCATGCATGAAGCCCTGGGTTCAATTCCTCAGCACCACATAAGCAAAAAGAAAAAAAAGCCAGAAGTGGCGCTGTGGCTCAAGTGGTAGAGCGCTAGCCTTGAGCTGAAGAGCTGAGTGACAGCGCCCAGGCCCAGAGTTCAGGCACCACGACCGGACCCCAAAAAAAAAAAAGAGTCACATGGACTTTTCTGCCCAGGACTAGCTTTGAACCACAATCTCAGTCTCAGCCCTCCTTAGCTAGGATTATAGGCATGATTTGTTGTCATTTTTTAATCTTTCATATGTGTGAAGGGAGTCCAAAGGGCCAGGGCTCCAACTGGCCTGGTACAAAGGGGTCAGGTCAAATGTGCAATCCCTCTCCTACTGTTCCTTGGATCTCTGTGGCTCAGACCCAGAGCTGATGACATTGGAGGGTCCTTGTGTAAGTAGGAGTGAGGCAGGGATCTGCCAGGCCCTGACCCCCGCCTCCCCACACTGCTGAGCTTGCAGCCTGCAGGACTGCTGAGGTGGCACTGCATTCCTGCCTGCCTGCTCGCCTTGGGGAGCTCCTGAGGGACCAGCCGGCCCGAGGAGGCAGACCTTGGAATGGGGAGCCTTGGGAGGCTCCAAGTCCCTGGGAAGCAAGCAGGGAATTGTATGTCTGCCCACGGTGACTACAGGGCAGCCAAAGAGGTCAGGGATATTGGAACTCAGGGTGTGGCTCAACTCCAAGGATTCTGCTTGATAGAAGCTGTCACAAATAACCAGGAACTTATTCACCCCTCCCCCCCCAACACTTCATTCCTTTCCCAGGAGAGATGTGGCTCTATAAGGGGGACTTGATTGTGAAGGGCCAGAGTCTCATTTTCAGAAGGCAGCAGCAGGTCAAGTATACCCTGAAGGCTTGAACATGGAGACCCACTGGGTCTCCTGGTTCAGAGATAGAAAGAAACTGAGAGGCCTCAGCCAGACAGGACTCTAGTCCTGTTCACCTCTCCTTGGTCACTTCCTTGATGACCTTGACCTTGACTTAACCTCTCATTGTGAGTAGCAGTCCCATGGAATGGGGAGAAAAGGGCATCACAGGAAGAGGTCTAGGTAGATGAGCTAGAGGCACTGGACAGCTCAAGACCCCACCCATTTCTGGTCCTCGTGGCTCCTTTCCTTTGGATACCCAGAGCAGGAGGAGAAAAAAAAAAACAACCAAAACAATACAAAACACCAGGAGAGAAGGAAGGAGGTCTTGGCCTGAAGTCTGGGGTGGGGCGTGAGGGGAAGAGGTGCAGGGGGCATCCTGGACACGGCCTCTGCTCTTTTCCATCCCCAGCCCCGCTCAGGTTGCTTCCTGCAGAACTTCTTGGGTACCTAGAACTTGGGGATGGATTAGACAGATTAAGAGAGGAGGGGGGCTGAATGTGAGCACAGGCCTCCCCCACCCCCCTGACTGTCTTTCAATGCCTGGAGTCTGGGCTCCGCCTGTCTTCACTGGGGAATAATTTATTCATTGCGACTCCCGCAGGAGTAACAATCATACATAATTAGGGTTAATTATGACATTCATTAATTAGGATGACTTCTCCTTTTGCTCCTGCCCGCCCTCCTCCCCTCACCCTGCTCCCGGGGTGGGGGTGGGGGGTGGGGCTGCTTTTCTCGCGGCGGCTCCGAAGCCGCAACGACACCCCGGGTCCCTGGCCTGCGACGGGCTGCCCGCGCTGCCGCAGCCCCGGGGCGCCCGCCCGGCGAGCCGCAGCCCCCGGGTCCCCCCGAACCCAACCCGGCGGGGAGCGGGAATCCGAGCCCGCGGTGGGTGCGAGAGAGGCGCGCGGGAACTCAGCACGTAGGGACGCGGAGAGAAACCGCGCGAGAGGCACGCAGAGGACGCCAGGGCAGGGACAGACGGTTGTAGAGACAATTCCCAGAGACGCGACTGAGCGACGGAGCTGCAGACAGGGGTGGCGGCCCCGGGAGGGGGTGCGTCTCGCACGCACACCCGCGCGCGTACACCGGCCCACACCCGCTACACACGGCCACACTCGCTGCGCCTCCGCCGCGCCGCTTCCCTCCAACAAAGCCGAGTTGCGGCCGCCCGGGAGGGGGCGAGGCGCGTCCGCTGCTGCGCGCGTCCCGGCGCGTATGGTCGGGGTGGTGGTGGGGGGAGAGGGTCCTTGACACCCCGCGTCGCGAGCCCACTCCCCTCCCCCGCCCCGCCGCGGCTCGCAGTCTTGGGGATCACGCGGGCGTCCGTGACCCCAAGGCTCCGAAGCCCACGGCGGCCAGCGCATCCCCGGAGGAGAGCGCCCGGCCAGGGGCGCCCCGGGCAGGGGGGGCCAGGCCCGGCGCGCCCCCCTTTCCCCCGACTTGCCTTGGTTTCCTGGAGGGCGGAGACGGTCCCCGGGGGGGTGTGGGTGGCCGCGTCATCCGGCTCGTTCTCCTTCTCGCTCATTTCGGTCATGGTTGTCGGGGGTGGGGGGGAACCGGAGAAGCGAGGGTGCGGAGACCCGACGGCAGGCCGGCCCAGGGCAGGGTGCGGGCGACGGGCGTCTCTACGGGACTCTGAAGCCTTCCTCCAGAGGCTGCCCCCCGAGGAACCCCGGGAGAAACCCGCCCAGGCAGGGCAACCCCCCCAGCCCCGGGCTCTGGTGGAGAAAGTTGCCGAGGTGGCGAGTGCGGGGAGCCGCGGGAGACGGACGACCCCCGGCCGAGAGGACCGAGGGTCCGCAGAGGAGGCTGCTCACCGCCGAAGGAGGGGGGAAGCGGGGATGCGGGGATGAGCCGAAGGAAGGAGCGACGGAGCTGTCCGTGTCCGGCCCGCTCCGCCGTCCTCTGCGCCCGCCCCCCCACCCCCCCCCCCCCCCCTCCCCGCCGGCCCCAGCCCAGCACCCCGCGGCCCCTCCGCCCAGTCCTCGCCTCCCAACTTTGATTTAGGAGGTCGCCTGGTCCCTCCCCCTTCCTCCGCCGCGCCCCCGCGCCGCTATGCAAATCAAGACTCGCAGCCATTGGCTGCCGCGGTGGCCAGGAGGGCCAGCTGGGCGGAGTCTGGGGGGGCTCGACAAGACGGGGCGGGGCTTGGAGGAAAAAGAAGTGGTGGGGTTTGCTTGACAACGAACCCCACATCCCCGAGATGAGGGGTGAACGTAACATGACTTGAAAGAAGCCAGGGGTCTGGATGGGGTTGCGGGGAGGGGGAAGGCAGGAAATAGATATATAGGTTTTGAGGCTGCGGCAGAATAGCTGAGATCGAAGTTACATTTCCTGATAGTGCAGGAGGAAGATGCTTGGCGAACGAAAAATAAGGGAATCATCCACTCCATTAACTTGATGCCTATCTGGCCTGGAGAGAAACTTCCAGATACCTGTATTAGAGCATAGGGTCTCCTGAGGAAGAGAGGATTTTTTGAGTCAGAGTTTCACTATATAACCCAGAAGCTCACTATGTAGCCCAAAAGCTCCCGCCTTACTGTCGCTAGAGCTAGGATTACAGGCATGTACCACCGCACCCCTCAAATGGATAGACAACTTAAGGTTGGAGATGTGGCTCAGTTGGTAGAGCGCTAGCCCGTGAACATCAATTACTGAGTGTGAGTCCATCTTGGACCTAAAAAGAAGACAACTTAAACTGGCATTGATGGGTCTTGCCTGTAATCCTGGGCTATACAGGAAGCTAAGATCTGGAGGATCATAGTTTGAAGCCAGCCTGATCAGAAGAATTCTCCAGACTTTGTTGCCAAAATAACCAGCAAAAGGGTAGCCTGGATGCATGGTGCAAGCAGTACAGTGCCAGCAAAGCAAGTATGAGTCCTTGAGTTCAAACTTCAACAATGAATAAAACAAAACTTAATGAGCCAAAAACCAAGATTGGCAATGTTTCCTTGTGGAAATCAGGACAACTATAATCCTTTCCATTCTTGCTGTATGGATTTTAGCAGAGCCAATGACCTCTATCCTCAAACCTCTAGTCTCTGTTGTTGTTGTAGTTCCTGTCCTGGGGCTGGAACTCAAGTCCTGAGTGCTGTCCCTAAGCTTTTTGCTTATGGCTGATACTCTACCACTTGAGCCACACCTCCTCCATTTCTGGCATTTTATTTTTTCTTTTATTTATTCATTTTTGTTGGTCGTGGGACTGAACTCTGGGCCTGGGCACTGTCCCTCAGCTCTTCAGCTCAAGGTTAGGGCTCCACCACTTGAATCACAGCACCACTTCTGATTTTCTGGTGGTTTATTGGAGATAAGAATCTCATGGACTTTCCTGCCCAACCTAGCTTTGAACCATGATCCTCAGCTCTCAGCCTTCTGAGTAGTAAGGATTACAGGCATGAGCCACTGGCACCCGGCTTTTTTGTAGTCAGTATTTTTGGTAGTCAGTTTATTGGAGATAAGAGTCTTGTGGACTTTCTTACCTGCACTGACTTCAAACTGTGATCCTCAGATCTCAGCCATTTGAGTAGCTAGGATTACAGGTGTGAGCCACCAATGCCCAGCTCAAGTTAGAAGCATCTTTAAGATGTACCTTCCTGGGCTGGGAAGGTGGCTCAGTGGTAGAGCGCTTGCCTTGCAGGCCTGAGGCCCTGGGTTCGATTCCTCAGCACCATATAAGCAAAAAAAAAAGCCGGAAGTGGTGCTGTGGCTCAAGTGGTAGAGCACTAGCCTTGAGCTGAAGAGCTGAGGGACAGTGCCCAGGCCCAGAGTTCAGGCCCCACGACTGGACCAAAAAAAAAAAAAAAAAAAGATGTACCTTCCTAAAGATCCTGGCACCACGTGAGTTAGATCAGAAATACCGGGGAAGAAGTTTTCACACTCAAAGGTGCCCTCCCCCATCTGGTCTAAAGATGCTTCCTCTAAAGCTTGGTGACAACCTAAGATGGATTTTCCCAATTCCTCCCTCATCTCTAGCCCCTTCAGGTCGCAACCAATAGCTCTAGCTTCATCTCTTGGCTTATCCAAGGAAAGGAGATGAGCTGGGTGTGGGTGGAGAGGTTTCTGGGTTTTAGCCTGCCACTTCCTTTACCACATGTGGGTGGTGGCAGTCAGGGGAACCTGTGGTGATAATTTTCCTGCTATATGTGAGCCCTGAAGGACAGAGCTGTCTGACCCCCTCTGTCAGCCATCCACAGGACCATTGGCCTCTCAAGCATGAGCTCATTATTGAAGCACTGCTCAGGTTACTGTGTCCAGGAATAGAGATTTATTTGCTAGTGGCAGAAGTAGGACAAGGGCAGACAGTGAGTGTTCAGTGGTGTGGGGGCTTGGTCCCCTCCTCCTCCAGATCTAGTACCCCTGCAGTCTGTCTTTGACTCCTGGCTTTCCTGAAAGGAGCTGGGGTGGAGCCTGAGCTCATTCTGCAAGCTCAGCCCACAAACGCATCGCACCAAAGACCCACTCACTACCAGCTGTCTAAGAACCCCCATCTCCTCTGAAGGTTTTCTTTCTCTCCTGCCAGCCAGCCCAGCCCAATTTCTCCTCTCTTGGGCAGTGCAGGATACTTAAGAGCACCCTGACATAGCACTTCATCCGTCCCAGGTTGGAACAATCAGGGGCTTTTTCAGTGTTTGGAGATTTTGTTTTGGAGATGGTACTTTTGTTTCTCCTCAATGAGTTAGGGCCTTGATTCTTTTTTTAAAAAAAAATTTTATTGAGATTAGGTGATTACATAAATTTCACATATTTTACAGAATTGTGGAATAGTGATACTTAAAGTTACAAACACATTTTAACCTTCACAAGGCAAATTGTCATTATCATGGTCTATAAAGTTTGTGAATTCTATGAGCTTTGACAATACAACTATTTCTTCCACATCAGGTGATATGTACATTTCTTTTCTTTTGCTTAGTGTAAGCTGTTCCCTCTTTCCCTCTCATTCCCTCAGGCCTTGATTCTTAGGGTCTAAATCCTAGACCCTAAACTGGGTGCTGGGGGCTCACGCCTATAATCCTAGCTACTCAGGAGGCTGAGATCTGAGGATCATGGTTCAAAGCCAGCCTGGGCAGGAAACTCCGTGAGATTCTTATCTCTAATAAACCACTCAGAAAACCAGAAGTGGCACTGTGGCTCAAGTGGTACAGCACTTGCCTTGAGCTGAAGAGCTGAGGGATAAGCGTCCAGGCCCCAAGTTCAAGCTTCACGACTGACAATAAGTAAATAAAAAATAAAAATAAAATAAAACCTAGACCCTAGGTTGATTGTGTAACACGTCTTTTAAAGCCTGATTTGGTCATCAGCAAGATGGTGACTGTGCCACTGTCTGCCATCCAATCCTTGCCACTGGAGAATTCAGGAGACGACTCAGTACAACGCTTGGCCCAGACAAGACCTGCAAGGAGACTTCATTTAGTTTTTTGTCCCTCCTCTCTTCTGATAAAGTTGCGCTTTTCCTAGTACTTCCTTCTTGTTTGTTTTCTTATACAAAATGATGGTTTTTTGTGTGACATTGTTGTACATGTATATAATGTTCTTGGATCATATTTACACCTTCCCCATTATCTCAGCACCTTCCTTGAGGCAGAAAGGAGAAAAAAGCAGCTTTTCCCTCCTTGGCCATTCAGAACCTGGTATTCCATGGGGGAAAGTGGGGGGGGGGCGGGGGGAGACTGACCAAGAAGTAGCTATCTGTGAACAAAGAGATTCTGACTCATCACAGAAAGAATACCCAGGGGGACCAGTGGTACCATCGACCAAGGAGAGCCAGGAAAGTGGGGGATCCATCTGGTCTGGGCATCAGAAGCCTCTGGGGCCAGTGTGGAGGAGGCAGGGGGTTGGATCCTATGACCTCTGGATGTCCTTTCTGACTGCAGCCTTTGTGTCTCAGAGCGGTCTTTCATGAACTCAGTCTGAGTCATTGCTCTCAGCCGACAACTCCCACTGCAGTGGCTCAGAGACAGGGCCGAAGCAGCCAGGCCAGCTTCTCTTGGGGAGGGAGGACCCTTGTCTCTGCTCACATTTAGAGGGCAGAAATGAGAAGCAGGTAGAGCAAGGCCAGGCATGCCAGGATGGTAGAGGGCAGTGATACCTTGAAAGGCCTCTCAGGCATTGGCAGTTGGACCGTTGGGTGTCTTATACCATGAGGCCCTGGGACCCTGGAGAGGTAGACCAGATAACTTCAGCTCTGTGTGTAGTATGATATCTAGTTCCTGTTCTTGTTTCTTTTCTGCCCTTATTGTTATTGTTTGTCCTAGTACTGGTTCTTGAACTCAGGGCCTTGAGCTTTCATTCAGTTTTTCTGCTCACAAGTTGAGATACTCTTCCACTTGAGCCATGCATCCACTTCCAGCTTTTTTTTTTTTTTTGGTCAGTCGTGGGGCCTGAACTCTGGGCCTGGGTGCTGTCCCTCAGTTCTTCAGCACAAGGCTAGCACTCTACCACTTGAGCCACGGCACCACTTCCAGCCTTTTCTGTTTATGTGGTACAGAGGAATTGAACCCAGGGCTTCATGCATGCTAGGCAAGCACTCTACCACTAAGCCACATTTTCAACCTCATCCTCCCAACCCCCCCAAAAAAAAAACAGAAGTGGTGCTGTGGCTCAAGTGGTAGAGTAATATCCTTGAATACGAAGAGGCTCAGGGACAGTGCCCAGGCTCTGAGTTCAAGCCCCACCACTGACAAATAAAAGAAGTCTCTTAGATTTGTCTATCCAGAGCCAGGTGCCAATGGCTCACGCCTATAATCCTAGCTATTCAGAAGGCTGAGATCTGCAGATCACGGTTCAAAGCCAGCCCGGGCAGGAAAGTCTGTGAGACTCTCATCTCCCATTAACCACCAGAAAACCGAGGTGGTGCTGTGGCTCAAGTGGTAGAGCCCTAGCCTTGAGCTGAAGAGCTGAGGGACAGGG